TATGAATAGCTTAAAGCTGACTCTGCACAATAAACTGGAATATGAGAAAGAATCTCTAAAATAACATCTGTTGTCAACAAGGGATGAGAGTTTTTCCAGCATCAGAGGTTTATCAGACCACAACACTGTTTCGTTCTCTATCTGAGCACAAACCCAGCAGACACGTCTTAAAGCAGAGTGTGTGTGAGACTTCAGCACTACTATTATGAAAACAGACAAGCAGAGACGAAGATACAAACTCTAACATATTGCAGTGGGTCTGCACTTACTTGATTAATACTTAACCGGCACTTGACTGACTTAGCAAAAACTCTCAAATCTTCGTAAGAAGCCTCTTTTTTCCATAGATCATCACTCTGAGCACTTAACACTCAGGAGTGAGTGAGTGCACAAGATATGGACTTATATCTTCTAGAAAGCACCATGTCGCCTCCTCAAATGACCATTTGTGCGCTGCTTTTTTAGCACGCTCTGCCAAAATACATTTCAGCATCAGCCGCTGATATTAGGGATGTGCAAAACTACATTCAAAACGGCAGGGGTCCCAAGACAAGTTTTTAAAAGTTGAACTGTTTTAACTTTAATTTCCTATATTTACACATGCACTGGCTAAAGATGTTAATCTGAATGTATACAATATTTTTTGTCTAAAACGAGTTCAAATTTAAAGTGAAAGTTCACCGGTAGCCATTGACTTCCATATTATTGCTTCCATACTATGGAAGTCAATGGCTACCAGCAACTTAACTGTTTTGTTTACCAACATTCTTCAAAATATCTTCTTTCGTGCTCAACCAGAAGAAAGAAACTCATACAGGTTTGAGACGACACGAGGGTGAGTAAATGATGACAGAATTTTCATTTTTGAGTGAACTATCCCTTTAAGATGGGTGTTTCAACGTATGTTTTAAATCCAAATGCTATAAATTCAAGCTTGATTTGAACTTGAAGTAAGATCAACTTTAGAAACTAGACTAGAAAGCTCTTCTAAAATATGTTTCTTGGATGTTAAGAACGTATGAAACTTAATTGCACATTTGTGCACTGCAGGTGAACTGCACAGACTACTAATTAATAGCACAGCGATCAGATTAAGCCACAGTATCCAACCCAGATCAGAGAGATTGACATCTGACCGACTGACTGTGAGATCTCCAGTGGCACAGGCCTTACAAAACTGTGTCAGTCAAACAAGGTCATGTCAGGTGCTGATACAGTCGTAGACAGAGATTAAGTTCATTTAAAGGAACTTTAAATACAGTCTCTCCAACGGAATAAAACAATGTTTTCACAACATCAATGATTTCTCATGCATTTTATTGAGAGATGTGTGCTGTTACATTTTTTACATCACTGTTACATGATTATTTATATATATATATATATATATATATTAAGATGTCCTTGGTACTGAAGTACTAAGTGACATTAATTAACTACATGTACTTACTATATGGTTAGACTTAGGATGAGGGTTACATTTTAGGTTAGTTGCATGTAATTAGGCATAATTTATTGTTATTACTATAGTAAGTGCATGTAACAAGGACGCTGTAAAATAAAGTGTTACCAAAATGTCTAACTTAAAGCATAAACAATAGTACTAATGATATTAGCACCATTGAGAAATCATGGTAACACTTTATTTTACAGTCCTGTTCCACATGTACATACTATGTACTTATTATTGTAATTGCAATTACTGGGCAATAACTAGGTACTAACCCTGAACCTAACCTTAACCCATGTAGTTAAATTATCCAGTACTTTCTTAGATAAGTAGGCCTACACTGTAATTACATGTAAGTGCACATACTGTAAAATAAACTGAAATCACATACTAATACAACAGCTTGTTGTATTCCTCACTTGTAAGTTGCTTTGGATAAAGGTGTCTGCTAATAAATGAATGTAAATGTAAATATAGCAGTTATTCATGTGGACTATTTGGAAAATCTCACTTAAGTTTGAAATGTGTCCTAAATGCACAAAAAGCTTTCAAACTCAGAAGTTACTTTGCTGTGTTTGAGTCTGGCAGTAAACGCATTGATTTTTAAACTATCAATGTCCTGTTATACTTTCAACACAAGAAGAGTGTGAACAGATCGTTTGGGGTGGAAGTGAAAATCTCAAACATATGCACACATACTGTTCAAAAGTTTGGGTTGGCAAGATTTTGTAATGATTAAAAAAAAAGTCTCTCATGCTCACCATTTGCTCAAAAATACAGTAAAACAGTAATATTGTGAAATATTATTACAACTTAAAACAACTGTTTTCCATTTGAATTTATGTTAAAATGTAATTTATTCCTGTGATCAAAGCTGTATTTTCAGCATCATTCCTCCAGTCTTCAGTGTCACATGATCCTTCAGAAATCAGTATAATATGCTGATTTGCTGATCAAGAAATATTTCTGATTATTATCAATGTTAAAAACAGTTGTGCTGCTTAATATTTGTGTGGAAACCATGATACACTTTTTCAGGGTCCTCTGATGAATTAAGTTCAAAAGAACTTGATAAAGAATATCTCTTTGGTTTTGAGACTTTAGTCTTTGCAACTTCAGGGATCTTATCTATGCACAATCAGCTTGTAACACTCCAAAGAGAAAGGAAAACTTGAAATCGCATCATATGACCCCTTTAAAATAAAAACCTTTTGTAACTTTATAAATGTATTTACTGTCACTTTTATACAATGTAATGCATCCTTGCTGAATAGAATTAAAATAAAAAAAAACAGTGACACAGTACTGTCACAATGAACAAATAACTAAACTGAATTTCAAGTTACCATTCCAGCAATAACCCAGACATGCTGGCATAATGCAGAATGTTGAGCTATAAGTGATATGGCTTATCAGAAACATGAACTTTGAATAACCAGTCTGATCTGCCAAAACAAAAGCATGATAAACACAGTTTTGAGACATCAAATCACAGCAGTATCCCAACAGTACACTTTAGAAGTGTGACAGTCAAGACTGCAGCATGCACATCCACTGACTATCAAGTGATAATACAGGAAAAGTTTCGGTTTGTTAGTTCATAAGAGAATAGTCTCAGCTCTCTATCAACAAACAGGCACGTGGCAGAGGTGTAGCGCAGCTGAAGCTCACGCTGTTTGGCAGTGATGCTGGTCAGGTGGCCTACAAACAGACTGGCACAGCACTGGAGGTTCACTGGGTTCAGTCCAGCCTCGGAACGTAGAGCCAACTGGGCCACTCCAGTAAATAATATGCCTGCTCGCTCTAAACACAGAGCCTACTGCATCTGAGAGCAAATATTAATGGCAAGAAGCAGAACCAGAGCACAAGACTGCTAGATAAACAGATGGTTAATTATACGATAGTTGAAATAAATATTTAAAAATCTTTCCAGTGCCTTGAGCAATAAAACCATCAATTCTCAGCATTCAGTTTGTCTCTAGTATATATATTTAAAAAAAAGCTAAATCTAGTGTGTAGCACTGATTATATATAGAAACACCAGATGACTGTAACACAGTGGACTCCAGGTTATGAGTAGTTCATGATCATGTGACTCTTTGAACAGACGCTCAGATGTTCTTGATTCCTTTGAAGCACAAGATGATCTTTTGAATCTTTTTCAAATCATGCTGGAAAACAGGATTATCAGGAACTTGCGGAGCTCATGCAGATCAAATGCTGCATTAAAACAAAACAGGGATATTTTCCAAATCATGCTTATTTTTTCACGCTGTTAATATAATATGTACTGGAATTTGTATTAAGCTACAAAAACAATAGCATTTTGACTCAACAAGTGCAAATAAATTTTACTTTTTGACCAATATAGTCAAAAATACAATTACTTACATTTGATTAGTAACCTAGAAATAATACAGAATCTTCTTTGTTTCATGCCATAAAAAAAAAATTCAGAAATATATATATATATTAAATAGTGCAGAACAGTGCAGAATCTTAATTTCACACCATAAAAAAAGTATATTCAATTTTTCAAAATTATATATTAAATTACATATTTATATGATATAAATATAATTTGTAATAAAATGTGGGTAGCACTTTATTTTACAGTCCTCTTCCGCATGTACATATTATGTAATTGTTATATTAATTACAATAACTGGTTAATAATTAGGTACTAACCCTGAACCTAACCCTGAACCTACCCCTAAACCTAACCCATGTAGTTACCTTATATTATCCAGTACTTTCTTAGTTAAGTACACTGTAAGTACAGGTAAGTGCACGTACTGTAAAATAAAGTGCAACCATAATTATATATATATATAGTAATTACACAAGATTTACAGTTTCAGTGCTGTTTCAGACAGAATTGGAGGAAGTATAGCATGTCACTCTGCAGGACACTGCTTTCACTGCTTGATATCATGTCAGCTATCTCTGTACACACAAGATAAACAGTTGCACCGTTGCAATTAACAATGCATGTCAAGCAAACACGAGCACACACACAGAAAGGCTGAGCTTTCCGTCAGCAGCACACACGGCGCTCATGCGTGCATGGAGTCAGAGAAAACACAACACACATCCGCACCGCGAGCACTGGACAGCGCCGTGGTGCTGAAAACACCGCGCCACGGCAACCGCAATCGCGCAAATGCGTCGCGTTAATGTTTAACGTCTGACCTATCCGACACAGCACGCATTAAAACGTGTAGTAATATCTGATGGGATTTTTAGCGAAGATGGCGCCCACAGCTAACCCAGCCCACCAGAGCCGCACAGAATGAGCACAAGTGAGGCGAAATACTACATCCACACGCGGCACGAGCGACGCAAAGCCGCCAGGCGCGTGACATTGACCCCTCCGACGGTTAACCCGGGCGTTTTGTCCGAGCTCGTGTCAACAACAGCCTAATATTGACAGTCTACGTAAGCAGACGTATTAAATTTCAGGAGACAGTCGTGCTGAAAATGACTGGGAGCCCGCAAAGAGCCCTCCTCGGCCCCTATTAAGGGTGCTGAACACAACCAGCTGGCTTACTTCAGCGTGGACTGCTCTTTCTCCTCCTCTTTCTTCTGTCGCTCCATGACCGAGAGGATGATCTTCCTCTCCTCCTCGGTGAGGTGGCTCAGGTCCGGCGGAGCGGGAGCCGCAGGGGACGCGGCCGGGGCCCCCCGAGCTGACATTCTCAGGTGTAGATGCTGCTGAAAGAGCGATAAATGAACATTAAGTACATCTGCAGAGACCCCATGCAGCCTACACATGTGCTCTTGCTATATAATGTTTGTGTTTATGGGATGCATAACTGTATTGATCTCATCTAAATGGCACTGTGATGCTGAAGAGAGCAGACAACTGATGGTTTTATAATAACACATTAGCTCATCTCTAACACCTTCACACTCTGCCGGTGTATGTGCATGGAAGATTCAGTGGTACATTATTGGCTGTAATCAATATAACCCAGTGACAGCATGGGAAACGCGTGTGCAAATGTAGTTTGTCACGCTGGCTCATAAAAACAAGCATCTTCTGAGAATAAGGTGTGAGAAAGCCCTCTGGCTTCTCGCGTTTCCGGGAGCCGAGGGCATCCCAAGCATGCCTGTCGAATGTGTGTGGAGACAAAACGGGCGCTTGCCTTTTATTTCGAAATCATGGTGAGTGCAGTCTAACCCATGGCTGCTGCCGCTTACGGAGAGCTCTCGCGCATCGTCCAATGGTAGGGCGCGCGATCCCTTATTGCGGTAATCGCTTCCCCGCGATTCCCTCCTGGTTGCCGCCGCTGCTGCTGCTAACTCCAAGAGATTTCTTGAATGCACAAAAAATGGATGCGGTAGGGGAAACGGTCCGATAGGAGAGCGAGGCGGAGCGACGGTCTTACGTAGGACAAAGATCAGATGGTCCGGGTGCGCAACTGCGCGGGCGGGGGCGGGGGCGGCGGAAGTGTGCGCTCCCCGACGCATTCATTGACATGAGCTGGAGCTGCGATGAACGCTATGGTGACAATCCAGCAACCAGATTTTTTTTTTTCTGGCTTATAATTTTTTTAATTGTTTATGTCACAGACTGTTGTGAATTAAATCTCTGTCTATTAGTTTAAATTATTTTTTTCCCCTCCTCAGACCTCTTTAAGAAGTATGTTACCTAACTTAATGCCACTGCCATCAAATCATCCACGTGTTCTTGGAAGAGCATTATGAAACTAAAAGGCATAACCCAAAACTAAGTATTGGCAGATTATAAATTAAATGTTTAAGTAATATATTTTAGCTTTCGTTCAATTTTGGACATCATTGCACGTTAGGTAGGCCTACATCAATCAAATTTACACTACGGTTCAAAAGTTTGGGGTCAGTAAGTGTTTTTTTATTCAGCAAGAACTAATTACATTTCTCAAAAGTAACAGTGAATGCGTTTAAAATGATAAAAGATTTCAAAATTCAAATAAATGCATTTTAAAAATTTTTTTATTTTTTATTGAAGAATCCTGAAAAAAAAAATGTATCACGAAGCAGCACAGCTGTTTTCAGCATTGATTGATTGATTACAAGAAAATCAGCATATTATACTGATTTCTGAAGGATCATGTGACACTGAAGACATGGAGTTATGGAAATTCAGCTTTGATCACAGCAATAAATTACATTTGAAAATATATTCACATAGAAAATAGCTATTTTAAATTGTAATAATAATTCACAATTTTTAGTTTTTACTGTATTTTTGATCAAATCAGTGCAGCCTTAGTGAGTAAAGAGACTTCTTATAAAATCTTGAAGACCAATTTAAACAACATGCTCACTGAACAAAGAAAACAAGGAATAATGCAATCATATTATGCAATGCAAGTTTAATGATTTCATGATGATGAATACTGTGTTAGTGACTTGTCTGTGTCGTTCATTTCTTTACCACCACATACAATCATCAATAATCACTGACAATCGTTTCTAATACCATATAACATGTATTTTTATTGTGGACAAACTGCCTTTCAATTTATAACATTTTATGTAATAATAGACCTAAATGTGCATCATCTTTGGAGCAGGTGTGATGTTATATATGAAACATCTACATCCTCGTATGTGTATATAATATATAATATACCTGGCAATAAAGCTCATTCTGATTCTGATTCTGAAATGTTTGAATAGTTTTATACATCTACAGCATTACCTAAACAGTTTAGAATAAAGACATCAAAATGATGAAAATGGAAATCAAATTTGAGCTTTCACCTTTTGTCAAGATCACAGCATCTACTCACTCAGCACCTTCTTTCATCCAGCTTCATGAGCTGCATACTGGGTGAAGGAGTTCATAGGTATCCATTAAGAAAAGAAAATACCATTTTGGTTTTGAATTTAAATTCATAGGAAGGCACATTTTATGATGTACTACTGCTGCTGCTGCTGCTACAACACAGATCATAAACCTTTAGGTCGAAATGGCAAATATAAATTCTGTCCAAAGCTGGTGTATTTTTTCCCCTGCAGATTGCTGTTTAAAAATAACAACAGGTTTTGCAAGTCGTGTGAGGGGGGGAAATATTCATGTATTCATTCATTTTTGAGTACCTTAAATATATACTCAGTGTTGGGGAGTAACTAACTAGTTACATGTAACGGAATTATGTAATTTAATTACAAAATAAATGTAACTGTAATCTGTTACAGTTACTGAGAAAAAGTGTGTAATTTAATTAAAGTTACTTATGAAAATGTTAAAGATTACAACGGGAGTTACATCTGAATATTTTCACACACTTACAGTTTTGATTGATTTCTTTATCAAAGTGCATTAACTGCTCTAAAATATGAGGCACCAATGTTTCAGGAGTTTAGGACACAGAATAGGACACGTGCTTATTTGATAACAGTATTTAATCCCATTTATTTGCTGCTGACCTTCAGTGATCCAATTCAGCCATACTAATAAGCAGAAATTACACAAGATAAACTAATATTTCTTCTTCTTTTTTTTATTGCTGAAGAGTGTTGAACTTTCTTCTTCTGTGTTCTACTGTACAGACGTGAATTTGCATTTCCTTCAGCCTGAGGCTTTTGGTGTGAAGGGGCTTTTATATTTGCCAAAAATATAACTTTTTATATTAAAAGCAAACAAGCAAGCCCTTTAGTCTTTGCAACTTTACAGATCTTCTTTATGCACCAAGAGCTTGTAACACTCCAAAGAGAAAGGAAAAATTGAAATCGCATCATATGACCCCTTTAAAAGTGACATTACAGACATTTATAATGTTAAAAAAATATTTTACATAAACACTTTTCTTTTGCATCAAAAAAATCCTATTTTTTTTTTCATATTTAAAAAATATTAAACAGTAAAGACTGTTTTCAACATTGATAATAATAAAAACCATTAAAAATTGAGCACCAATAGTAATTGATAATAATTTGTCACAAAATCAGTTTTGCCATCACAGAAATTAATTATTATATTATACTCACACATACAGCAGTGAGTACTGAACACAACTTACACACAAACTGTGAACACACACCCAGAGCAGTGGGCAGCCATTTGTTCCAGCACCAGCTGGAGCAGTTTGGGGTTCAATGTCTTGCTCAAGGGCACCTCAGTGGTATTGAGGGTGGAAGAGAGCACTGTACATTCACTCCCCACACCTACAATCCCTGCTGGTACCGAGATTCGAACCCGTGACCTTCAGATTACAAGTATGACTCTCTAACCATTAGGCCACAACTGCCCCTCATCTATGATATCAGAAACATTCAACATTTTATGGTTTCACTTTATTTTGATGGTTCCTTTAACACATTCTGTTGACTATAAGTAACATTGCACCTACATATCTAATAACTCTCATTAGAGTATTAGTAGACTGGTAGGGTTAGGGTTAGAATAAGTTGACATGTACTTGCAACGTTACTTATAGTCAGCAGAATGTCTGGGAGACCATGGCAATAAAGAGTTAGCAGATATTAAGCAGACAGTCTACTGATACTCTGATGAGAGTTAGTACACATGTAGGCCCATCCCAAAAGGGACCATCAAAATAAAGTGTTACCGATAACTGTTTTATTTTCTATTTGGGTTTGTGTAACTATTATACTATATCTTATGATTTTAAATAGGTATTTAACCTCAGAACGATCTCAAAGTAAAAAGAGGTCATTTCCTTCAGCCTGAGGCTTTTGGTGTGAAAGGGCTTTTACATTTGCCAAAAATCGAACTTTTTATATTAAAAGCAAACAAGCAAGCCCAGCCCAGATTTAAAAAGTAACGCAAAAGTAACGTAACGCATTACTTTAAATACAAAGTAACTAAGTACCGTAATAGGTACTTTTTAGGAAGTAACGCAATATTGTAATGCATTACTTTTAAAAGTAACTTTCCCCAACACTTGTAATAATAAGTCGTCCTCAAATATAGCTCACGCTCACTCTCAAAACAGATTTCTAGAGCCTGTGGAGAGCTGTGAATTACGTCACACCATATGCGATGGCGATTGGCTGCTGTGACGCACGTCGCTCCGCCCACCGGTCTGCGACAAGACCATGGCAATAAAGAGTTAGCAGATATTAAGCAGACAGTCTACTGATACTCTGATGAGAGTTAGTACACATGTAGGCCCATCCCAAAAGGGACCATCAAAATAAAGTGTTACCGATAACTGTTTTATTTTCTATTTGGGTTTGTGTAACTATTATACTATATCTTATGATTTTAAATAGGTATTTAACCTCAGAACGATCTCAAAGTAAAAAGAGGTGCTAAAGTCTGATTTTGTGGTGGCTGTAACCCTGCCTGCTTTAAATGTTTCAAAATGATTAACAGTTGAAAACAAATTTAGAAAAGTAATCAAATGTAATCAGTTACATTACTTTAATAAAGTAACTTACACTACATATTACGTTTTAAATAGGGTAACTTGTAATCTGTAACCTATTACATTTCCAAAGTAACCTTCCCAGCACTGTACTATATGCGTCTTATTAGAATAGAATAGTAGAATAGTTCAAAATAATATGTATAGCACATTTACTATAAATATATAAATAGTAGGTTACAGTAAATATAGTGTAATAATCAGTGTTGGGGGTAACGCATTACAAGTAACGCGAGTTACGTAATCAGATTACTTTTTTTCAAGTAACTAATAAAGTAACGCATTACTTTTTAATTTACAAGAAAATATCTGAGTTACTTTTTCAAATAAGTAACGCCAGTTACTTTTTTTCCCCATTTATTGATTGAAGGGCTCTCCTGTCCCCTTGTTGCGAGAAATCGGGAGTAAGATGTGCAAGCCCAGCCCAGATTTAAAAAGTAACGCAAAAGTAACGTAACGCATTACTTTAAATACAAAGTAACTAAGTACCGTAATAGGTACTTTTTAGGAAGTAACGCAATATTGTAATGCATTACTTTTAAAAGTAACTTTCCCCAACACTTGTAATAATAAGTCGTCCTCAAATATAGCTCACGCTCACTCTCAAAACAGATTTCTAGAGCCTGTGGAGAGCTGTGAATTACGTCACACCATATGCGATGGCGATTGGCTGCTGTGACGCACGTCGCTCCGCCCACCGGTCTGCGTCACCACGCTCTGTTATTTACCTTCTTCCTCAGTGGAGAGGAGAAGAAGTCAGACGAACGGCGGCGAGCAGAAAAATGGCCCAGCGGTGGCTGCTGAATTTAATAGAGGCCTTGGTTACTTGATGTTTTTTTTTTTTTTAAACAAAAAACAGGATTAGTGTGCCGCTGTCTGCACTCACGAAGTGTATTTTACTGCCTCTTGCCGCTCAGGGAGTCCGTCTCTAGTACGTAAACAAACATGACCGCTACCGTTTCCAGGCAGAGACACGCCGCAGTCGCTGCAGACTCCTCTGGCTCTTCTTTTTCCGTTACTGCAAGCCTCATGCGACTCTCTAAACACATCAAATATGAAAATCTGGCAGCCGGACTCAGTGGGGGTGTTATTTCCACAATGGTGTTGCACCCCCTGGATCTGATCAAAATCAGGTTTGCAGGTGAGTGCATGTTCACCTTATATAATACTGCAGAGAGTGTCTTAAAACATATAGAGCTGCCTACCTGGACAGCATGCATAAATGGCCAAAAATACTGTCTGGTCAGGCTTTTTTAATTATTAAAAAAAATATATCACAATTGCACATTAGGACCGATAAAAAAAACAGCACACAGGAAATAAACATAAATAAATCAATTAAATGAAATGTAATATAAGTGAGTGCATTTTCTGGTCATTATTATTAAGTTTCAGGAACTAAAGTATTTTGAAATACACAGAACAAGAGACTTGCCTTGTAAAGTTTACTCTGAATAATAAAAGTCTTCCATTATTATTCAGATAATGTCTGGTAAATTAATTATGCATTATTATTATGCATGTCATCAAAAAAGTGTTACTGTGCAAACAACAGAGAAAAAAAAAATGGTATGTTGACACGGTTTCACAATCTGAAAAAGTGTGTCATGCTCTCTAGGTATTGAGACAGCCCAGAAACACTAGAAAAACACACAGCGTGGGCACTACACATATTGACTGCTAGTTTTTACCTTTGCACTGGCCTTTTTTTAGGATGTTTTTAGATTGTTTTGAAGCAGAAGTGGGAATGTGTTGTTTCCCCCAATGTTTCTTTCTCTTTCCAGTAAGTGATGGTCTGAAAATGCGACCCCAGTACGATGGCATGGTGCACTGCATGAAGACCATCTGGAAGCTGGAAGGGATTAGAGGTCTCTATCAGGGTGTGACCCCCAACATCTGGGGGGCCGGGGCATCGTGGGGCCTGTACTTCCTCTTGTAAGTAGTCAGAGTTGTGTTGAAAAGGGAAGCACAGAATGGAATTTCCTGTTTGAATGTAGTTCTATATTATATACATTTTTTTTTTCATTAGATTTCTATTTCAAATAAAATCAGTTATTTTTAACTTTCTGTTCATCAAAGAATCCTGGATGGAAAAAAATCATGGTTTCCTCAAAAATATGAAGCAGCACAACTGTTTTCTACATTGATGATAATAATAAATGTTAGTATAAATGTTAGTATAAAATTAGCATATTATACTGATTTCTGAAGGATCATGTGACACTGAAGACTGGAGTAATGATGCTGAAAATTCAGCTTTGATCACAGGAATAAATTACATGTTAAAGAAATGTAATAAATAATAGTAATATGTCACAATATTACTGTATTTTTAATAAATGTAGACTTGGTGAGCATCAGAGATGTCTTTCAAAAACATTAAAAAATCGTAATTATTCCTTTATTATAACTTTTGACCGGTAGTGTATCACACATCTGTCCTTGAATTTTTAAACACTTAAAAATTAATCAAACTTTTCAATATATTCAAATAGAAAACAGTTATTTTAAATTGTGATAATATGTCACACTATTAATGTTTTTACTGTATTTTTAATTTAAAAAATGCAGTCTAGGTGAGCAGAAACAGGTCTTACCCTAAACTTTTGAATAGTAGTGTAAATGGCACTGATACTGACTATTTCTACTCAATAAAATAAAATGAAATAAATAAATAAATGACGATGATGATAATAATAATAATATAGTGAACTTTCCTGAAAATGCATGGAACCTTTAAAGTTCACAGGCCAAAAAAAGAAGCTGCCAACAGTGCTGTGTCAGTTGAGATGAGTTATGAAGTTACTCCACGAAGTTATCTGACCTAATTTCAGATCAGGATCACTGGCGAACAAAGTGTGCATGTGCAACTTTATACGGGTAGCAGAATTGAAATATAAGCAGTAGATCCTTGTTGATTTGGGCCTTGTCCTTCAAAAGCAGTTGATAAGCAGGCTATTATGTCAAGAGGAACTTTTCTCCTAATATTTTGTTTATGGACTCAGTCATTCTGTGGAAAAAAATATGAAGCGAGAGAGAAATAAGGTGAAGATAATAACCATAACAATATAGATTTAGCTCAGCAATTTTATATCCAGCTAGGGTTTAAATTAGAGCCCGACCGATATGGTTTTTTTGGGGGACCGATACCGATATTAAGGAGTAAAAAAGACCAATATCGATATATTGGCTGATATTCTTTAATTGTAGGCTATATTATAGTACAGTATAGTCAAAAGTTTGGACACACTTCCCATTCGTGTGTCCAAACTTTTGACTGGTACTGTATGTAGAATACAGTATATACATAAACAGAATATATACACAAACACATTTTTTGCAATGATAACTCAAATGTGGTGATCAAACACTTATAATGATGTGACAAACATAGGCCTATGTAGTGGAGGCAGGGTATTTAACAATTTAACAATAAACTTTATTATTCAAAATGAGTCTGACATCAGTGCACTGAACAGTAAAGTTCACTTATTATAAATAACTTAAAAAACACAGATAGAACAAAATATATATAACTTGAATTAAGAAAATAAACAATGTAACTGTGTAGGGCAAGCAAGATGCAGCCCATGTTTTCTGCATCGCGGAAATCACAGGGCCCTACTAATGTAGCAAAAGATGGTAAGCTCATAATGACAGTAAAAATCGGGGACGTTGTTTATTTACTTTAGCATTGAGTCTCTCCAACTAGGTGACAACGTAGCATTAAATCACCATTCAACAGACTCAAGCCACCACCACACTGCCGTCTATTGGACTGCAGAAAGATACAAACTTTTCAATCTGCTACGTTACTGAGTCTGACAAACTATGCTGACACGCCGCGTCTGCGCCGCAACAGGACGCGACAAAGCGACCGTTGAAAATCATTTGAACTTTGTGTCAGCACGTCATAAATAGAACGAGGCATCAGTTTACTGCATC